AGCTAGTGTCATGGGTATTTTGGGGTGGCCGGTGGTGTATTGCACAGCACTTCATTGTGCTACAAATGAGGGCGGTGGTTGGTGAGATGAGAGTTAAGTGTTATTGATTTCCATTCTTTTTATTTCAATTTCACCGTATGCCGATCTGTCTAACTCACTTTTTTTATTCGCTCGTTCATTATTTTAGTTATTCCCAGACGGCTCCTATAATCCATTCCTTTTAACATAGTTTCCATCCACTATTTCCACCGTGCCTATCTAATGCCCCTCCAAGCGCTACGTGCAAGTGCCCATCTAATAGCATGGTTAGAGGCAGTGTATGGCGCAGGCCCTACGAACAAGCAAGTCAGCCTCTGCAAGACTATACTCTTAAGCAACGGTGACAAAACGACTTGCGCTGAACAATCTACGATATTCGCTAACGGAGGAAACATAAGGTGATGGCACAGTAACCTTGAGGACCCTCCCTGTACCCAGAGAAGTAGCCCTCCTCCAAGCCCTCAGCTGCAACTTCTATGACAAAGATCAGGGAAAGGCACCAGAGCCGTGACCTGACGGGGGCCATTGTGGCAGTTAGTTTTCCCCTTCCCCCCAACCCTTCCTCCCCGGCTATGATAGCATGATAGAGAGACGTGCACGCCCAGGCGGCAACCGACGTCGGCGCCATAGCCATATCCCCTAGATCCCTAATACGTAAGGTGCGTTCCAAGGACTTTGTTGTGATAGCCGTTGTACACAATAGACTAGCGGGGCACCTCGAAACCCTCAAGTTCCCAAATTTAGCCCCTTGTCTGAACAACCGATGTAACTACGCTTGGTTCTAGATACATAACTGCCCAACGGGGGATCCGACCAGATGATTCCTTTCTCTTTCCCCATTGTGCATGCAAGTGCTGATCGTGAATAGTAATGACACCCCTCGTGTGCAGTGATGAACGCCAGGAAAACCTACTCTACCGACAAACCGTGAAGGTACCCCGACTCACCAAAGGCACCTAGAAGATAATAACGTATTTGAGAAGGGCACTCCGCATGGATGTATAGTTCCAGATATGGGTTTGCCGGTGGAGCGCAGTTGGGTTTTGTGGGGGATGGGAGGATGAGGGGATCGTCGCCCTTGCCATCGTGGGTGAGGACTACTGTTGGTGGGTATGAGTTCGATCTAGTAGCAGTTGCGAAGAGAGTGTGTGTTGGGTTGGGTTTGGCGGCGGTAGTAGTAGTACTAGTGTATTGTCTAGAGTTGCGCGGCCGGGGGGTGTAGACTAGTGCCGACAGGTGTGGTAGGGAAGGTGATGAGAGGGAAGCCAGAGGGGGAGGCGACATAGCGGGGTATGCGATATTGAGTTAGCGAGGAGGGCTGTATACCGAGTTCCAATACTAATTATCTTAGAGGCGCCCCCTCAGAGAACTCCATCGCTTTGCACAGTGCCCCCAATACACCCCCGTGGTGTACTTTGCCATCGCGGAGCAGTATTCACCTTGAATAAGCCCGACCGAGCAACCCCCATATCATCATACCCCGAGCACCAAAAGCAGTCGCCCAAAACCCACTACCGAACACCCACCCCCCCAAGACCCTACCAGTGAACTATTCCTCCATCCAACGCTCCGGAACACATCCGTGTGCTTCCGAATTCTCCGAGCGCTGGGGGCCGCCGGGGCTGGGGGAAATCTTGTGGTTGACAAACTTCAAGCCTATCGTACCAGGAGATGGACGGGAGTGGTATCGTGGCCGGTTGGTGGCCGGTTCGGGGAGAGCGGGGTGAACGACGCCATTGCCGGAGAAATGTTTCGCCGGGTTTGAGCGGATATCCTATCGTAGAAGGATTGGCGACAAAGAGTTGACTCCGGCAAGATATCGGCCGGGGCTTCTCGGCAAAGACGGGCGAGTGTGATACCGTAGGTTCTGAGTAAACTCGACCCCCCCCCCCGCAATACTTAAGGTAGCCACTATCCCTCTTAACCTAAGGACTAACTCCATGGCGAATTCGACTTTCCGGGGTTAGTAAATACCATACAGGGAATAGCGGTGGGTCGAGTTTACTCGGAACCTACTCATAAGGTACCTGAATTGATAAAGTCATTGCGTGCCTCGGCACTGAGCTTCTGGTGCGGTACGATATCATATTTCGGCGTGTTCTGGTATATTTTGGTGCCGAGGCATCCAGATACTTTGTCACTTGCCAAGTACTCGAGTACCGTACTCGTACGTATCATACTCGTACAGTGCTCGACATTACGCAAGGGTGATTGCATAATTTTGTCGCATCAAATTTAATCAAGTATGATACCTGTATGAGTACTTTTCAATTTTCGAGCCTATCGTGACTCCAAATTTACACAAAGTTACAACAGGTAATATGATAGAAACAGAAAATTGCAAAAGCCAAACGCCGACTCTTTTCCCACAAAATCACCTATGCATGTTGGTCCCGCAGCAGGCAAATCCAAAATTTACTACCAACCGCCCCACCCAGAAGGTTAGGAAACTTCGTGTAGTAGGCAGATAGTCGTATTTCGATTGTATGTGTGCGCGAGTACTATGCGGTGCCATACATATGTGCGTGTCGTTTGGCCGCCAACACCCCAACCCTTGGTCTCTTTTCACATCCGGGCCATAAACGCCCTTCAGACACCTCCGCCAGACTCACCACGTAAAATCCTTCGCAATCCCCCTCCTAGCCTCCATCCTCGCCTTCTACTCACAGATATATTCCATAACAACTACCCTCTCCCAAATACTCAAACCCCACTTCCCTGGCCTTCCCCTCGTAACCCTCAACATCCACATGCGCCCCTGCCGCCACCAAGGCCTTAACAACACCTAAATTCCCCACTTCCACTGCTCGATGCAGAGCCGTTTTTCCTGCACCATCGCGGCAATCTATCACACTCGCCTGCGACCTGCTATCCCATAATAGAGCGTGGATAACCCACTCGCAATTGGAGGCGAGGTGAAGCGGGGTTGCGCCAGAGTGATCGCGGGCAGCCACCTGCACACGCGACGAAGATAAAAGAGTCTGGACGGCAGAGAGGTTATGTGATTCTGCGGCTGCGTGAAGTAGGGTTTTACGGTAGACGTCTCGGTGGTGGGTTTGTGCCCCCATCTCAACCAATTTTGCAAATGCTCTCATATGGCCGTGTCGGAGTGCCCAGTGCAGCGCTGTGTAATGCGACGAGAAGATACACACCCGGGCTCCCAGATCGAGGAGTTTTTGCACAAGAGGTGGAGTAGCGGGCGTTGGGGTCCGGCATATTGTCATTCCGTCGCCCTGGACTACTACCCTCGGACCATTTTCTAGAAGAAGCGTGAGGTGGTGGGCGTTCCCGATGGCGGCAGACCAGTGCAGCGCAAGCGCGGTGTGATCTGTAGAACGTAGCGTTGCCGATGTCAAGGCGGGTCTAAGTAGAGTAGCGAGTCTTTGGGAACACAAAACCAGAGATCCTAGATCCGAAATCTTCAACCCCTTAGAAATCAGAAGCAACAACTCGTTCGGTAGATCACAGAGACCCATCGGTGAAGGAAGTTATGATCCCTTATGTGAATGTTTCCCTCTGAAAATTTTGCCAAAGGGGTCTCCTCATACATTTAACATTACATAACCCGTTCAAATCCTGCTGTGTTAGCTCACACACACCCTTTCATTTTCTTTCCTTTTACGCACCTTGTGCTAAGTATCATGCGGCAAATTCCTTCCGCCAGAACCTCCAAACCCACCCTCCCCGCAAATTGAACGGAAGATCGATCGGCGATTTCGCCCACGGCCCGAAATCCACGCTGTCGCCTTTCTATAGTACTCCTGTCTCACATAGTCTACCGGTAGCTTTGTTTTTCTTTAAGTGACCCACTTCACGCGGTATCACTCGAGAATTGCGCTCTGTATGTAAATTTCGAGCTTGTAGGAAGCGCGGCGCATGCTATTGGGTTGGGGTGTGTATAGTACGGCCACACAGGCACTTGGGAATAATAGTACCGCGCCCCCGCACAACCTACCGCAGGATTCAGGGCCGGGTATTGGTTGTGCTGGCGGATGGTGAAAGATCAGCGGCGCTGGGCCACCTTAAACGGCCGTGTCTCTAAACTGGGCTTCTAATCAGCGCCGTATTGTTGAAGTTCTCCCATTGTTCGTGGAAGCTCAATTCGGAAGCGGTATTGTATCATACCGGCATGATAATATCCACCCGACTTGGGGTGCTTGTCGGGAGGAGAGAGACGGGAGGGGAGTTTTAGTATGCGTTCCAGAGGTGTAAAATACTCTCAAATAAACCGCTCATTCTTCTCCCTATGTAGTGACACTATCCCCTTATTTAGCCCATCCGCCATCTAACTTATAGACCACCTGGGGTATCAAAGAGCTATACTTTTAATTTTACAACAAATTCCCGCCGGCCAGATATTTTGGGGATTCATCGCGAGGAGGTGGGGCTGTGGGGAGGCAATGAGGCAAATTGCGGCTTGCGGATGTCATAGGGGATGCTTGCATTCTTGCAAAGGACCACGAATGAGGGGGTCCGGGAAAATCGAGAGCGGGCTTTTGTTCTGGTCATTCGGGAGAGTTTGCACAATGGCAGAAATACCCGAAAGAAGAGACGACAACTATGGTATTATATTACGGTCAGAGGCTACGGTATCATCAGCGCTTGCTCCCACAATTTGCCCGTAGCAAGTCGGAAAATCGAGTGATGCGTTGTGCGTTGCAACCCCCACCTATCATACTGGGAATCGGTTCGAATACTACCGAAACTTTGCGGCTCTGGGGGCTCAAGTCGAAAGAGAGAAAAAAGAAAAACCTCGATGACATCCCCTCAACCAATCACAACCCCAAAGAGACATTCCAGTTTGATTCCTCCCCCGGCATACAAGTACCCCAACAGGCGAAAACAATGGCTATAAAATCCGCTCCAAAAGCCGTCTCTTTGGGGACATGATAGCACTATTACGGCCACTGTGTTTGCGCACTTCCCCAACAGCTGCTGTCAGAATCAAACGATATTCGACGATGATCCCTGTACCTGTTGCGGAAGTTGGAGAGGAATTGAGCAGGAAGTATAGGCCTTATTTGCTTCCTAGAGACGAAATGGAGAAGGATTGGATCTCGGAGTTAGAACTTGATACAGTGGAGAGAATCTCAAGGGAGCATTTGCTGGAACGGGGGGAAGAACCGTTGAAAGTTCTGGTGCTTTATGGGTCTTTGAGGATGAGGTTTGTTCCAGCTTGCATGATCGAGCGGGCCAGGAGAAGTGCTGATCAGCTGAAAAGGTCGTATTCGAAGCTCATGGCATATGAGGCTTGTCGGATACTACATCGCTTAGGGGTTGATGTGAGGGTGTTTGACCCGAAGGGGTTACCAATGAAGGACGATGTATCAATGGACCATGAAAAGGTTCAGGAGTTAAGGGGGTTGAGCGCTTGGAGTGATGGACAAGTGTGGTGTTCACCTGAGCAGCATGGAACGGTGGTATGTCTCTTAACCCTCCCCCTCCTCATCCTCCAGCAGCAAACCAACGCCCGTTAGACAGCCGTATTCAAAAACCAGATAGACTGGATACCCCTCTCCACCGGCTCTGTTCGCCCAACACAATCTCGCACTCTCTCAATAATTCAAGTAAATGGTGGTAGCCAATCCTTCAACACCGTAAACTGGCTACGGATTCTAGGGCGGTGGATGCGCATGTTCACGATACCAAACCAATCGAGCTTGCCAAAAGCGTATACTCAATTCAGCGATGAGGGGAGACTTTCTGCTAGCGGAAATCGGGATAGGCTTGTGGATTGTATGGAGGAGTTGGTAAAGTATACTTGGGTTATGAGACCCCATTTTGAGAGTTGGGGGGACAGGTTTAGTGAGCGGAAGGAGAAGGCGGAGAAGGAGGAGAAGAAAGCGAAGGAGAAGGGGGAGAGAGAAGAGGGGGAGATAGAAGAGAGGGAAAGGATGGAGAGGGAGGGGACGGGAGTGGAAGAGGTCAAGGGAGAAGGGGCCAAGATTGTGGCGGCGGTGTAGAACTGCGGTATCATATCATAGGTTGGGGGGGTGTGAGGGTGCTGGGTAGTACGAAGGTGTCCGTCTTCCCGCAAACATATTATGATAGAACCAGAGACCAGCAAATTTGCAGCCACTGCTCGAGCAAACAAAAGTGTTCATGATGTGAGACATGCTTAATTATCCTGGTGGTGCCGGTATTATACCTGTGCGGAGGGGCACCATAGTGGGGTTGTCACATCCACTGTGAACTGTGCCAATGCGGTAGGTTGCATAATATTATTAAAGCTTTTGTAGGGGTGTATTTGGCGTCTACAAAAAAAATGCGATATATTTTTATTTTTTCAATATAAATACAATAAAATTATTGGATTGTTCTTTTCACTCTATCTTCCTTGCCTCCTAATTTGCGGGTAGATTTTGTAGCCTTTCAGCACGGCTAATGGCCTATGTTAACCTTGGATCTTTTCCAAGGATAATAAATTACAAACAGGTTCAAACTAGGTCCTGAGAAAATAATTTCGGGTCCGGAAAAGAAAAACAAGAGAAAAAATAGAGGAAAACCAATTCGCGTATTGTCCGTATTAATAGGCTCTTGCTCGTAAAGGGAATCGTTGCTCACTCAGTGTACAGTACTCTACTTCACTCGCACACTTGTACTTGTTCGGTTTCGTTCGTATTTCACACTGCTCGATGACGCGGTTTCAATTCGGTTGTGTTATAGACAAAGATAGAGAGTGGAGAAAATTCTCCCTATGTATGATAATATTATCAAACTTTCCTTTCCTCCTCCAAACAAACCATAGTCTCTACAACTACCTTTTCTAAACCCCACCTAGAAAAACTAAGAGCACTTCAAAATTCACAGACCAGATTTTGATCCCCACAGTCCTCAAAACAAAGGAAATGCGTGTTGGACTAGGAGGTTGATGTGAAGGTTCTGCTTCAATTCTCAGGAGCAAGCCTGTTGCTAACTAAATAGACAAATTAACAAGTGTGCGCATCCATGGGTTTACCCTCAACACCATCATAAAATCTCACCAACATAACTAGGGTGGTTTCCCGTACCCTACAACACTCAACAATGCGATGTTGAACTAGTTAACCGCAAGGATTTTTTTTTGTCAGATAAATCTACTTGGGAGAACAGCCTAACGCCATGCTAAAAAAAAATACTTCAGAATGTGAAAGACTAAGACAAGGTGACAATGGACAAAGGAAAATATTATAGGTCCAACATGCAAAAACCTTTACTAGCCATTTGAAATCAAATTCGGAATCTCTCCAGTAACCAAACACTATTCCATACTCCGGATTAGATTGTTACAGGAGCTTGCTTGACGTATCTCCATTTTTGGTGTGCCCGGAATATCTCTCGGATGCCTTCACCGCCCAAGACCATAGCTCGCTACTCACAATATACCTCCCGCGATTGGGGTATGCATGTAAGAAGGGAATGACTGGGAATGTTATATCACTTGCATAGATACCTCTAGCTGAATTCAGTCTGCATGAACCTTCTCTCCTGCTCTCATTGTATTACTGTGAGGACGCGGAGTGGGTAGCCGAATGTGAGGAGTAATCCTACTGGATTTACTGGGCTCCACGTAGCAGCGTTTTTCGGGATTGCAGAGGCACCGCTTGCTTTATTGGAGATGGGGAATGAGATGTCAACCAAACCGACACCTCCGGTAACACGGCGCTCACATGGACAACTATTAGAGGGTGTGTGGTCGTGAGAAAGATATTACAATAGAGAGATGCCAATCCGAATTTAGTGGGTACATTGGGCAAAATGCCTCTTCCTTTGGCTGCCAGGGGGTTGGGAGAGTACTCGAGTAGTAGAGATCCTACTGGAGCGGGAGGTTCCTTGCCATAAGGCTTTCTTTTTTCACGGGTTAACTTTCCTGGCCTTAGCTCTAGTACCGCGTCGCCCGGCAGTACCGAAAACGGGGACCGGGTGCGGTTTTGATAGATGACCTAAATTTTCACCTTACTTCCCCTTGTCATGTTTTTGTGATACTCCACCGCGGGCAGATGTTTATATCCTAGTATTTACTCTTTCTGGAGGAAGAACGCCCTATAAAGATTTAATTTCGCTAGTGTATAAAGCCACACTTTACTTAAGCGATTTGGCTCGATTTTTCAGTATCACGAGCTAATCCGGGATGAGACCGAAGCAGAAAATGGTTCCGGAAGCACTAGTTGTCTGGTCGACACTATCAATCACCGAGCGAGAATCGGGAATACTCCAGGATTTTGCGGTAGATAAAATATGCTTAGGGCCACGGGGATGGAAGGACCGGGAATATAGGGGGATAGTGGTAACATGCACCCTCAGATAGCTCACCTTCCGAATGCAGTTATGCGGGATGGAAAATGCTAGGGCTGTCAAAAAATCGAAAAAACGGTGTAAATACAAGTATGTGAAGGAGTGAAAGTATGTGAAGGAGTGCGAGTGGAATCCGGTGTTGCTCTTACTAAGCTAGAGATAAAACACGAGTCATTTCATGGTCCTAATTCCACTCAATAGCCGGGAAGCAATTACGAATCTACGAAGAAAATCTCCGCCGCAAAGGATAATACATAGTAGCGATCTCAAGTAGTTGGGATAGAGAATGTTTTTCATCCTTCATGCGGTTAATAGTGTCTCTGTGGTCATGATCTATCACTCGGCGACCTATCACCAAGGTTTTCACTCTCGTTGCCAAGGAAACTCTCTGTGCCCGGTGCCCACAGGATCTAGGTTAGAGCGCAGAAATATCACAGGTATCTTCATTTTACCTCTTCCTCTCTCGGTGTGCTCGGTCATGCTTTCCAACTTTTCCACATCGGTTGCCTTTAGTGGCATTGAGTACAAATGCTTGGAGGATGTCCGGCAAACTGAGCGTGAATGCTTTCCTGTGCCGGCAAAATTGGAGAGGTGATTGAGATGGAGGGGGAGATAATCTCGAAGCCCGGCTCGATGGGGTATGTGCAATGATTTTAAAAAATCAGAAGACATGGGGCTTGGAATCCCAGACTATATGGAATGTAGGAGTAGCAGTGTGGGGTATGTGGGAATATTGGCTTGCTCGCAGGTATATTGCTGGATGCTCACCAACTTAGATGAAATAAAAAGAATGAATATCCGTTTCTCCCAAGCGCTTTCCCGCGTCTCTATTAACCCGATTCCACTAGCCAACGCCTCTGCCTATGAATTAGCCGAGTGAGCACTTTGGAGAGTCAACGGGAATTGTTCTTTCGGTTAGAGAGGCTATTGGGAAATGTAGCTCGGGGAACACTAGCTATGTTTGCTGGAAACCATGCACTGAGCATGGGGAAACTTAAGGATAGGAGGGTGTAAAGTTGGACGGAAATGTTTCTTGGCTGCTCACCGCATATTTCCCTTATGGCAATAACTTCACAACCCTAACCCTCTTTGCCTATCAACTACTCTGACGCCTCTATATGTTTGACTACCGGTTAGTCCTACACATCAAACACCACATGTGACAGCATCTGTGACAATATCTGCGACGACTCCGTGTGAAGGCCTTACCCCTATCATATGGAAATACCGAATTTCCTCGGTCAGAACATACCCTCGGTCGAATCCTCTTATCCTCGGCTGAAGCAGAACAATGGGTGTTAGTGAAATTGAGCATGACGGAGAACACGGCATACGCTGGAAGTATGTAGAAGTGGGTCGGCATGATCCAGGGAAGGATAAAAGGCAGCTTCTTTTCCCTTTGTTAGTTGTTCTCGTTCATCATCCAATCTGTCTCTTTCCTCCGTTTCCTGTATTTGGGTCATATCAGTCTTTCTATTTTATTCCCTATTATCTTCGCGAGAATATTTCACCGGTTAGGATATTCAAATTCGATCTTTACATCTTTGCCCAGCCATTCAATTGGAGTCAACAGTGTCCAAATCGCTGCCGTAAACCTTGTTGTTGAAAATAAAGTTTTACAGACCGGAAATACCTTTGAACAGGCCTGTGACGGGCACACTTATAGACGCTGAAAGTCACCCAAAATAAACAACCGTTTCCGTCATTCCTGCACTGTGGGTCTGCGCCCTGCCTTCTCTGCCCTCTAATACAACCTTTCTCAAACATTTAGCCACTGTAGAAGGATCTCGTTTATCGTGATTCGCAGCCAAGTTGTAGCAAATTCAACTCCCGCTTTTCTTTTGCCTTGGTTAGTGTTTACTCTCTTGCAAACCATTGTAGGCGTTCGGGGAATATGACCACTCCCTTAATGGAAGTCTGGTACTGCGCAGGGAAATATGCCGTTGTACAGGTGCCGTAATGTCACAGCTATTGGCCAAACTGCCGTCACGAGAAAGACCGGTCAGTTGCTGATAGGAAAACGGAGATGTGTTCGATATTCGATATATATGACAAGTGTTCACCGAAGAGTGTAAGTGTGTGATCCCATAAGGCATGCAAGCGTCTTAGCTCAGACTATATACAGTTTTGTGGTGACCCGCTCGTGGGTTCACACAATACCAGTCACTGTCGTGCGGTCTGGTCAATAGCCCTGCTCACACTCACAAGTGCGCCCTAACCTAACATACCACGATGGGGTTACTCCATCACTCCCCCTAATCCCATCGTTCTTCCACAGAGATCTATGCCTATCGATAGTAAAAAAAAAAAAAGACCAAACATCTCTATCCTGCAGACAGATTACATAGAAACTGACAACATATTAAGGAAATTCTGGTGCTTCACTCGTTCCAATCCCTTGGTGAGTCCATCTGCTATCATGGCATTAGTCCTAACATAAGAGATATCCACATCTCCATCCCTGACCAATTCGCGCAACCAGAAATACTTCACACCCACATGCCGGGTTGAAGGCTTAAACTGTCCGTTCATCAAACTCGCTATACATGCCTGATTGTCATTAAATACTGAAACTAGAGGTCTTCTTTCACCTTCTTCTTCACTCTTATTTCCTCCTCCGTAAAGCTCCTCCTGTAGCTTCCATAGCCAAATAGCTTCTTCTACTGCAAATCCCGTGGCATTGAACTCT